CAACAGCTTTCGGCTGTTATTGGAGGCATTATGCTCGGTGAGACAGACTTTTGGACCATCCTAGAACAGCCGTGCTTGTATGTTTGGGAGCTGAAAGAGAGGTCAGGGGTGAAAAGAGGGAGCCAGGAATTCCGGAAAACCGCTCTCTTCATGTGTGCTGAAATCTGCCTGCTGAAACGGTTGCCAGTTCACAGTGAAATATGTCCTCAGTGTTTCTCCAAGACAGTCTGAAAAAGTCACCGCCCTGAAGAGTCGATCAGTAGCATCTTTGGCCCCAGAGGCTGCAAAAAGAGACTTCTGAAGTCCCCTACTGAGTTCCTGGGAGGAGATTAGACTTAAAAAACACTCATACCATGCTTTGGGTCATGATCTCATAGCCAGAAGAGCCTCAGTGTATCCCAGGCTATTGCTGAAAGTACCTCAGGGCAATTAACTACATGGATTCACCCGATCGATAATGGCATTGGTAAGGTTGCTCCTGGACGTAATATCTGCGTGACGGGCAGTGAGCCACGTGTAGTGTCAGGCCAGCTCTACAGGAGAAGGATTTGGCTGCAAACCTGCCAGTGCTGCAGAGTGTGTCATATTGAAAAGCCATACAGACAAAGCGTTTGGCACCATGAGCCCTTCATTCTGCAGGACCGCTCAGGCTATCAGCGCGGGATCTGTGAGCGGGTTAGTCAGTCCAGCTCCCTGTTTTGAAAGGGCAGAAACTGAGTCAGAAATGGCAACGAAGTTTTCTTACGGGAATTAGGAAGACTGGTTTTTTAAATTTGTTTGTGGTTTATTATTCTGTTTCCTACTCTCCTTGGCCACTGAGCCATTTCTTGCTCACCTTTCAATACTGACCAATTCTTTCCTCCAGTTAACACCCAGAAGCCCTCATATATATTTTTGTCTCTTCCTTGGTTTCTCTTAAATCCCCGTGACTAATCTACTGTCTCGTCTCTTCCTCCCAGCTCTCAGCTCTGCTTTGTTTTTAATTGGGCCTTTGTTAACAGCTTCGTTGTTTGCCTGTATCCATACACAGAGCACAGCTGCACGCTCCCCCTCCCAACCGCAGGAGAAGAAATCAGAAAGTAAAGCCCCTCCAAGAGAGCCCAGCCTGTCTCTTCTGTAACAACCACAGCAACTTCTGCAAAATGACTGCCTCTGTGGGCAGACAGATGAGCTTTCCGAGACAGATCTGTGGCTCGGAGCACACAGACGTAATAATCACCAGAAAAGCATCACAAGCCCCTCTCCAGGCATTATTTAGGCCATTCCTAAATCACCAGGTGCAGTCTCTCTCTCACTGCTGACTCTCTCTGGGTATGGAAACTTTTGCTTTCTGTCATTCCCTCTCAGTACACTGCAATCTTTCTGCCTGAAATTGTAAATGATAACACCTGCTGGGGCTCTTATTTGTTCATTCCCCGTATCTCCGGCTGCTCCCTGTGTGAGATATTATGCCCACACAGAGGTATGAAATATACAGTAGTTGCTTGAGAAACTTCTATATGAAAGATGCAATGAGTATAAATAATGGTATTGTTCTGATGTTCTTCATCTTGAATCTGACAGAACATGTTCAAGAAACTCCAGGAACACTCTAAAGCTGATGGAAAAGTCATTCACACTGTTATCAGCATAGCTGAAAACAAATGCACAGGACTGCTCTGGACATCTTACTTTCCTTTCACCACCAGAATGTATTTATTCCTCAAGTCATACCATATTCATATTTACTTTAATGATTCATAAACACCCCAGGTTCCAGAAGCTTCTAATTAACTCATCTATTTAGTGTCGTTAACAGATGCTCAGGGAGTGATTTATTGTACAATACCGGCTCATACCAATGTATAAATCCAGCCAATCTAATTGGCAGGCAGTCTAGGTAAATATCTTCTGTTGGTGGATGAGATGCTGTCCTAAATTCAGCATTAATGCCCTGCAGACTGCGGCTGAAGCATTATTATTTTCTCCTATTACTCTGCACGACACACATGGTACTATACAACACTGGTTATTTCCCTCTTTTTGAAGAAAAAGAAAAAAAAAAGATGTAGTGAGGTACTGCCTAGGATTTGGGGCATATATTTATCCCGTCTGAGAAAGGAGAAAATCGATAGCCCCAAAGAAGTTTTCACTCAAGCTCTTTTTAATGTACCTCTGGCCTTCTATATTTTCAAATCCAAAACCAATCCCTCCGACGTGCTACAACAAAAGTATCCTAAACTTCATTAGAAAAGTCACATTGGGAATCCTGTCTATAAGACAGATGTGGACAGATGTCCAGGCCATTTGTTGCTAAATAAGGGAGCGGGACTGGCCACAGAGACTTTGGGCAGAACATGGAGCTGAACACCTACAACAGCAAAGTTAGCTCTACAGGTACTTCTATGGCAGTGGAAGTACCTGTACAGGTACAGGTAGAGTACAGGGACACTCCCAGCCACTCATGTTGCTGGATTATTAGAGGGACTCCAACACGGTTTCCAGCCTAGGCTGGCTAAACCTCTATCAGCTCCTGGCTGGCAGAGGCAGCACAGCCAGAGACCATTGGCACGGGCTGTTTGCAGGCTGCCAGGCTGGTGAGCACCATATGAGCCCAGCCTGGACAGGGCCAGCACACAGGATGCTCTTAGCATCACTGTTTTAATGACACACATCCAGCCCGTCAGCTTTGGTGGACTTGTTTTACTTGGAAACCAGGGTGGGGCTTTTCTTCTTCCCAAATTTCAAGGTCTGATCCCACTGCTTGTTGCCTGGGCAGGAGCAATCTTCCAAAACTGAAAGGCGAGTTATTTACCTCTCTGGAGGAGAGCTGCAGCTATGCTGCAGACAAATTCCACAGCTTTTCTCTTAAGAGCTCACTCCCTTTTCATTCCAGTTCTTCCCAATGGCAAAACTATGACTCAGTTTGTGTTAACAAAATACTAAGGAAACACAGATAAATATTGTTTCAAATTCCTTAAGGTAAGAGTCATTAGAGGACTGTTAAAATATTCTTTTTTTGCAGTAATTAGTTTTTGTCTGTCTACAGTCTTCAAAAAAGGTGTATTTAAGCTTTTTATTTCAATGGCACAGAAAGGGACCATTGTAAATAATTAGGGTGTGTTTTCTCCTCATGTTTTAAAAACAATGTTTTTAGTAAAGTTACTGGGGTTTAATATACTTTTGACTGAGATTTTGATGATGAACCATCTCTGCTGTCTGCTCCAGCGCACACAGCAGTGCTTTCTGTGGGTGGGTTTGGTAAGGGGGAGGAAGTACAGGGAATGGGAAGCAAAACTACATTAACATGGGATTGTGCCCAAATAAGTGAAAGATAAGGGAATATGATAGCTTGAAAAAGGTGATACACATTGATCAAACATGTTGCAGAATTTCTAGGATTTGTTAAAGTTCTCCTCAGGACTCACTATGAGCAATCAATGTAGGAACAATACCATGATGAGAATGACTTTTAATTCAAGGTTTCATCTTGAGTAGAGCACCCTTTCTTGCTGCTTCCCCATCTCGTTGTCAGTTCCCAAGGTGCATGTGGTCTTTCACATGCAACAATGAAGGCACAGTCCACTCCTAACGGCTGTATTGCAAGGAACGGCTTTGACGTGGGGCCGCAGCAGCAGTGTACCATGCTGCAAGCACCTTTTAAACATCGTAACCTGTGATTTGAGTTACATGTTATGGGAACTATTACAGCAGGAACCACCTGAAGCAATGGAGAAGCCCTACAGGAAGCCATGCAACTGCACCAGCAACCCAACCCCAGCTGGCTTTGGTGCCCAGTAACTCCACACAACAAACCACCTCTCTTGTCCTAAGGGATCATCATAACAGATGAAGCCCAAAGCCATTGACTAACTGAATTCAGAAGACACGTTGTGGATATTTTACAGATATTATACAGAGGTGGCCCATCAACTAAGGGCATCATATGTGTTTTACATCAAAGGATGGGAAAGATGGTGGTAGTGTTTAACGAGGATGTGTTGGATAGTGTGGGACCTGAGCATGATATAAATGGCATGGATTAAGGAGTGAAGAATGTGCTTGTCTGGGATAGAGTTAATTTTCTTCACAGTATCTGGTATGGAGCTGTGTTTTGGATTTGTGCTGAAAAGTGCAATAATACAGATGTTTTAGTCACTGCTGAGCAGTGCTTACACAGAGTCAAGGCCTTTTCTGCTCCTCACCCCACCAGTGAGTAGACTGGGGGTGCACAAAAAGCTGGGGGGCGACACAGCCAGGACAACTGACCCGAACTGACCCAAGGATATACTATAACGTATAGCACCATGCTCAGCATACACAGCTGGGGGAAGAAAAAACGAAGGGGAGCATGTTCGGAGTGATAGTGTCTTGCCAAGTAACTGTTACACACCATGGAGCCCTGCTTTCCCGGAGATGGCTAAACACCTGTCTGACCACGGGGAGTGGTGGGATGAATTCCTTGTTTTGCCTTGCTTGTGTGCAAACTAAAGATAAACTAGATACACTACAGATGCTATAATGTCAGAAGTACCAACCCAGTCACGTGCCCTCTGGGATCTTCTTAATAAAAAAGTTCACAAAACCAACAGACATACCAATTCACATGGAGTTTACAGAGTAACTTAGGCTGGAAGGGACTTCTTGAGAGCATCTGGTCACTAGGCAAAAGTGTTAACTTTGTATGCAAACAACAGAAATAAATAAGATACTCTGCTCTTTTAGGTCAATTACACATTCTGTACCAGAACAAGTATCAAAACTAGTTTTAGTAAGAATAGCAATGTTGATTTAGAATGAAGTCTAGTATCCCACCAAAATCCACATGAAACACAAACAATTCTACAAAATTCTCATTGATCACGTGAACTCTTTGACAGGAATCAAGATGCTGAAGAGAACAATGAAACATGACGGTTCCTAAATATGTTGTCAGAAATCCAATTACTAAACAACAGAATAAATTACTGGGACATAACCCGCAAACGTTGAGATGCAGTAATGAGCTGTACCACCTCATAAAAATAAGTTTTAATATTAACAATTTGATTTCACATGAGTGCATGTTAACCTTTCTTTTTGCAAAGTTCAAGCAAGGTTCAAGTCCTGCATTGTTTACAAAGCTGGGGTTACTCTTCTTCATTCTTCTGCACCGACTGCACAGCTTCTGCTTTAACTCTATTTCGCTTTCTTTTTCTTCTTTTCTTCTTCTCAGCAGAAGGCTCCTGACCCTCCTGTGTTTTCTTCTTTTTCTTCTTCAGACAGCTGAGGGGATTGGGGCCGCCTGCCCTTTTACGTTTTCTTCTCTTTTCACCTCCTTGCTTCGCTAGTCCTTCTTGCTCTTTAAGCTGCACAATACTTTGTTTTTGGTGCTCTGGAACAAGCTGATTTGTCTGCAACTTTTGAACAACTGCCAAAGATTTAGGAGAAGGTTTGTCTAGCACCATGGTGTTCTGAATAATAAAGAGGAGGGGAACGCCAGCCTTCTTTTTCACTTTGTTTGCTAAATCCTGGTCCTGTAAAATTAAATACTTAAGTCAATATTTTGGGATTAAACGATATTTGCAATTCAAACATGCTTACTTTTAATACAAAACTATGAAGATAAATGACATTATGAAAAAGATAAGAAACTTAATCTAGCAGATATACATGGCAGTGCGTTTCAGAGCAATTTAAATTTCAATTTCTCTCCTTCTGATAAGCTGTCCTTCTGATGGAAATTTATTAACATTTCCTTTTTTCATGCATGTGTAAGCATACGTGCTTTTTTTGAGGAAGAAGTCATTCGTATGCGTTCCACCACTTCACAAGAAGTAACATAATTTCTCATAAAACAGGTAATTTTAGACTCCTTGTATCTTACAGAAGTATACAGTATTCTACTGTAAACCATTACATATATATTGTATATAATTTAGACATACAGTGTTAGTAACAGACCTAAGAAAAAGATCTGCCTTTCTTACTTGTACATAAGTTCTACCTTTATTCTGATTTAAAACTTCCAAAGTTTCTTAAAATCAAAGTTATATGGTCATTTAACACTTTATTTCACTTTTCAGACTACTGTGCAAAACAGTTATGGGCAGGAAATGCACACACAAGCAATAATGCAAATTAACAGTCATCTGTTGTTTGCTCACATGTCAATAGGTAGTCAGCATGCTTTCTACACCTGCTAAACTAAGCAATATCCTTCTAGGGTAAAAAAATCTAGTTGTTCAAGTAGACAAAAGATTCCTTACTTCATAGTTAACAAACACATTTAAAGGCCAGTAAGGCTTTACAAGATTAATTCACACAAGCTATTTAAAAGTCTCATAACAGCGGTTTCTGTAAGTTTCCTTATCCTTAGATATCAAAAGATGATCTGAAACAAAATGAAGTTACATCCTCCATGTGCATTTACCTGTGTAGCAATAAAGAAGTGATGAGGGTTGCCTTCTTCAATCATGGAAAGTAAACAGGCTGAACCACTCACAGGATCCTTGTGGTGAGAACAGTTTCGAACTTGAAAACTTTGGGCAATTAACTTTGCTCCATAAAGGGCTTTTCCCAATGATTGCAATTCCTTTAGAACACATCTGAAAACCAAAAGCATCAATGATTTAATGTAAAAAAGAAAATAACTACACATTTTTTACAACAGCAGAAGGTTGACACGAGTTAATTAGGAAGGAGCAATGCCCAGTTGTTCAGGCTTTATGATTTATAAATGGCACCCAGTAACCTGAAAGCAGTAGCCCACCTGAAGACATCAGCAAGACTTTTTCGGTTCCAAAAAAGATTAAGCAGCAACATTAAGTTATATTAAATGATTTTAAAATATTTCCTATCAGTGCCAATGCTGAGTCCTGACATTTACGATCAGGTATCACCCAGCATAGGAACTAGTACTTAACAAATAAAATTATTTGAATTAGTACAAACTGATTAATCACTGCGTACAAGTTAAACCATTAGTGTCCACCACTCTGCTTCAAATTTGCTATCAGAACCCAGCTGACTCAAGCAGCAGCAGCAGAGGAGACTATTCATCTAATTAAAAATCTGGAAGCTTATGGTTCCGCAACATTCCAAATAGACAATAAAATGCAAACCTAAACCCCTCCTCTTAGCAGCACTCAGAGCAGATGTTCGCACTGGAGTAGCAGTCTAGGAGGATGCTACCTTGGATACTCAGAAATGAACAGGAGATGAAACCTAACTTACTCCTGTCATCGAGTCTTACTATTAAATATTGGCAGTAGTAGGATGTATGGCCTTGAAATACAACTTTGAGGATATGGTAAAAAGTACTTTTCTTTCCAGAGGAGAAAGGTTAGCCTTTGAGGACAGTCTTTGTGGAGACCTGAGCCTGTTCTTTTTGCAAAGACTCTCACAGCGAGACAGCTCATTTCCGCGGGGAAGCTCTGGTCATGTCACTGAGGTGCTGCCTCACCAACTTAGCAATCTGGCAGCAGAGAGAATGAGTCCATTCAGCTGCCCTAAGTGAAAACAGGTCAAAAAGATGAACAGATACTGCTGAAAGATGGAAGCAAGAAGGGTCATTTAGACATGGCTGAAATACAGTTTGGATCAAAGTGATTCCCAAACATTTCACAGCTAAGGTCATGATCTGATACTTTCTACTGTTTTGAAGTAGGGATCAGTTCTGTATGCTTTCCAAGATGGCTCAATGTTCAATTTTTGTTGCCTAGGGTATACATCTTCCTGATTTTTCCAGTACTTGCCTCCATGATGGGCAGTTGGCTGTTCTGCCATTGCAGAAATCCAAGTGAGGGAAATCTTACCATACACAATATGGAAAGTAAAGTAAAAACAAAAGCAACTTTAAGGCAACTTAGATATTTAGTGGGCATGCTTTACTTCCACACCTTTGTCTAGCACATCCTTGTTCTCCCTTGAGAACAGCTACTTTGGAAACAATCCCTTACTGGCAGGCTAAAACTCCAGACAAGCAGTAATTCCCTCCCTGCCCAAGAGGTCTGACCTTGCCTCTGTTCTTTTCACTTTGCCAAGAAACTAGGAGTGGGAAGAGGCCACCCAGACACCCCTCACTGTGGTTACCTCTTCCCCCACCACTGTGTTCAGCTCTGAACACAGTGCCCCCAACACAAGCAGGACATGGACCTGTTGGAGCAGGTCCAGAGGAGGCCATGAAGATGCTCCGAGGGCTGAAGCACCTCTGCTATGGAGACAGGCTGAGAGAGCTGGGGTTGTTCAGCCTGGAGAAGTCAAGTCACCAGAGAGACCTCAGAGCAGCTTCCAGTGCCTGACGGGGGCTGACAAGAAATTTGGAGAGAGATGTTTTACAAGGGCATGTAGGGATTAGACAAGAGGGAATGGCTTTAAACTGACCATAGGACAGGACTGATGACAGGACAAGATGTAACGGCCTCAAGCTGTGCCAGGGGAGGTTTAGACTGGGTATTAGGAAAGATTTTTTCACCGAGAGTGTGCTCAGGCATTGGAACAGGCTGCCCAGGGCAGTGGTGGAATCACCATCCCTGGGAGTGTCCAAAAACCTTTAGGTGAGGCACTCAGTGACATGGTTTAGCGATGGACCTGGCTGTCCTGGGTAAGGGTTGGACTTGCTGATCTTAAAGATCTTTTCCAATGTAGTTGGTTCTATGATTCTGTGACAGAGGGTAGACTTAGATCT